CAGCCCTGAGCCCCCTGCCCGCACCCCCTGCCGCCCCAGCACTGGGCTCTCTCTTTCCCCCCCCACACACCCTCGCAGCCCCAGCACTGGGCTCCTCCCCAAACGTGGGATCCGCTACCAGCACACGGCAGCCGAGCCCTGGCCCAGCCGCGACTCTGTCGCCATGCGGGTGGAGCTGCTGGGTGGCCCGGAGCGGGAGTACTTCCAGGTGGCGGTGCGGCTGTGGGGCGGCACGGAGAACACGGCCCCCTTCCTGGGCTTCACGGCACTGCTGGTGGCCAAGGTGGATCAGTTCGTGCTCACCGCCCTCACCCCTACATGCTGGTGGCCGAAGACCTGGAGAGCTCCCCGGACCTGCTGCTCTTCAGCCTCACCGCGCCCTGGCCCAGCCCCAGCGGGTGGGAAGGCGAAGCTCTCTGGCTGTGAGGCTACCTGCTCAGCACTGACGAGCCCATCCGGCCGCTCACCTCCTCACACAGTCCAGGAGCCCCTCTCGCCGCTGCCGCAGCCCGGGCTCGGCTCCAGGGGACCCCGCTTCCCTCCGTCCCGGCTCCTCACACACTCTGGGAGCCCCTCTCGCTGCCGCCGCAGCCTGGGCTCGGCTCCAGGGGACCCCACTTACCTCCCTCCCCGGCTCCTCACACACTCTGGGAGCCCCTCTCACCACCGCTGCCGCAGCCCAGGCTCGGCTCCAGAGGACCCCGCTTCCCTCCCTCCCTGGCTCCTCACACACTCTGGGAGCCCCTCTCGCCGCAGCCGCCGCAGCCCAGCCTCGGCTCCAGGGGACCCCACTTCCCTCCCTCCCCGGCTCCTCACACACTCTGGGAGCCCCTCTCGCCGCTGCCGCAGCCTAGGCTCAGCTCCAGGGGACCCTGCTTCCCTCCCTCCCCGGCTCCGCACACACTCTGGGAGCCCCTCTTGCCGCCACCGCAGCTCGTGCACTGACAGGGCGAGTGGCTGGGCCAGGGCCGGCTCCCGGCAATGCTGCTCCAAGCAAAAAAATAAAAATAAAAAAGGGGGGCAGAGTGCCGCCCCTTAGAAAGTGCCACCCCAAGCACATGCTTGGAGGGCTGGTGCTTAGAGCTGGCCCTGGCTCCAGCCATAGGAATTACGATACTTTCGGGCAGATATCAAGGGACATGATGGAAAAGGGCCATGACCAGGATGCACTGCAGTGCAGGGTTAAAGTGAAGGAACTGCAGAATGCCTACCACAAAGCGCGAGAGGCAAACCGCCGCTCCGGTGCTGCCCCCATGACCTGCCGTTTCTACAAAGAGCTGGACACGACACTTGAGGGCAACCCCACCTCCACTCCGAACATGGACACATGGACAAGACCACCATGGACACTTCAGAGCCCAGTTCAACAAGGCAGGAGGAGGAAAGCGGGAGCGAGGGTGCTGAGGAGAGGGGGACAGCCCGGCATCCCTAGATGCATGCAGCCAGGAGCTGTTTTCAAGCCAGGAGGAAGGTAACCAGTTGCAGCGGACAGTGCTTGGGGAAGAATAAACAGCAGAGGAGGTGCCCGGTAAGTGGCTTTTATCTTGGGAAGGAAGTTGTTCGGTGTGGGCTCTTGGGGTGAGGAGGGTTAGGGCTGCCTGCATGCCTAGATGCGGAATAGGGCATTGATGTGCTCTCTCACATCACGGTAATTGGCATCAGTGATCTCTTCAAAGGTTTCATGCCAGAAGTGGGCAATCCGCTTGAGCAGGTTCCTTGGCAGAGCTACTGTGCTCCTTGTCCCAGTAAGGCTAACATGTCTGCACCACAGTGCCGTGACAGGCAGGGGGACCATTGCTGCACACAGGCATGCTGTATATGGGCCAGGGCGGAAGACGCATTGTAGTAGAAAACCCTCCCTTGCTTCCCAGGTCACCCTCAGCAGTAAGCTATCTTCCAGGACAAACTCATCCTGTGGAAAATGTGGGGACAGTGTTCAGTATAGGGGCCCCCTGCAGCTGTTGGCTCTCCCCAAGGCACAGAACCCCAGAGGGCAGTATGGCTGTGAAACAATCATAGAATATCAGGGTTGGAAGGGACCTCAGGCGGTCATCTAGTTCAACCCCCTGCTCAAAGCAGGACCAATCCCCAGACATTTTTGTCCCAGATCCCTAAGTGGCCCCCTCAAGGACTGAACTCGCAACCCTGGGTTTACCAGGCCAATGCTCAAGCCACTGAGCTATACCTCCCCCAGGACCCCTTCCTCGCTGTGCTTACTCACCATTTTGGGGCTCCTGTGGGTTATGTGCACTCGCTTTGGGATGGGCAATATCTGATATTGTGTTCACTGTACTTGTCTTTAAGTATGGCTGACTCATTGCTCTGTCTGGTGTGAACAATGCTGCCTCTGTTAAGTGTTCCATTTTGGCTTTACAGATGCAATCTTGAGATCCCAGCCGTCCTTGTTATCAACAGCTGAAAGACTCCAAAGAATCAGGAAGCATCCGCAAAGAAGCAAAGAGGACATGCTGCATGAAGTCATGCAGCAATCCCTTAATGAAAATCAAAAAGTGCAGGAGTGGCAGGAGTTGAGTGAAAGATGGGTCTGCCAGCAGAATGTGGATCCCCGGCACCAAAGTATGGAGCGGCTGCTAAGCATCATGGAGCGCCAAGCAGACTCGATACAGGCGCTCGTAGCAATGCAGGTGGAGCATATCCGCGCCCCGCCCCCCCCCCCCCTGCAGCCCTTGTCCCAAAACTCTTTGCCTTGTGCCCCCATGTCACCGCCAACCCACTTTCCCCAACATCCGAGTTTGTGAAGGCTAGATCTATAACAGGGTTTAAAAGAGAACTAGATAAATTCATGGAGGTTAAGTCCATTAATGGCTATTAGCCAGGATGGGTAAGGAATGGTATCCATAGCCTCTGTTTTTCAGAGGGAGGAGGTAGATGGCAGGAGAGAGACCACTTGATCCTAACCTGTTAGGTTCACTCCCTCTGGGACACCTGGCATTGGACACTGTTGGTAGATAGGATATTGGGCTGAATGGACCTTTGGTCTGACACAGTATGGCCATTCTTGTATTCTGGGAAGAAAGTCCCAGCTTGCAGCTTCCTGAACAGGCTTGTTCCTTTCCGGACCAGCCTGCGATAATGTCAATGAAATGCCCACGGTTATCCAGAAGCGCCTGGAGAACCATAGAGAAATACTCCTTCCAATGTATGTACACGGAGGCTAGGTGGGCTGGTGCCAGAATTGGAATATGCGTCCCATCTATCGCCCCTCCTACTTAGGGAAACCCATTTGTGCAGAGCCAGCCACAATGTCACCCACATTACCCAAAGTCATGGTTTTTCTGAGCAGGATGCGATTAATGGCCCTGCAAACTTGCATCAACATGTTCCAACGGTAGACTTTCCCACTCCAAACTGGTTAGCGACCGATTGGTAGCTGTCTGGAGTTGCCAGTTTCCAGACTGCAATAGCCACTCGCTTCTCCACCGGCAGGACAGCTCTCAATCTCGTGTCCTTGTGCCGCAGGGTAGGGGCGAGCTCAGTACATAGTCCCATGAAAGTGGCTTTTCTCTTCCAAAAGTTCTGCAGCCACTGCGTGTCATCCCAGACTTGCATGACGATGTGATCCCACCATTCAGTGCTTGTTTCCTGAGCCCCAAAACGGCGTTCCACTGTGGTGAGCATGTCCGTGTATGCCACAAGCAAACTCGTGTCAGAAGCGTTATGTAAGTCGACATCATCATCGGACTCCTCACTGTCACTTTGTAGCTTACGGAGTAACTCGAATGCAATTCATGACATGCTGGCGAGACCCATCAGCATATTCCTTAGCAGTTCAGGATCCATTCCCACAGATCGAAAAGGAAGACAGAGTGTGCAGTACAAAAAACGTTGAAAGATGGCGCCAAATGTGGACGGAAGCACAGGGATTGCTGGGATGCGAAGCGCTGCACCACGGGGCATTGGGACAGGACTCAGAATGCCCCGCACCCCTGCCTCCTTCCCACAAGCCACAGCACCAGAATGGGAAGAGGTGCTCTGTGGGATAGCTGCCCATAATACACAACTCCCAATGCCGTTGCAAGAGCCACAAATGTGGCCATACCAGTGTGCTTGCAGCTGACAGTGTGAACACACTGCAGCGCTTTCCCTTATGCACTCTCCTAGGACTGGTTTAACTCACAGAGCTCTACATCTGCAAGTGTAGCCATGCCCTAAGTTTCCATTGCAGTTAATATGTTAATTTCTAGCCCCTGTGGCTTTCACAGAAATCCTCCCAAAGTGAACTGAATGTCATCCATGCTGTGCTGTCCACTGTGTCTGGTCATTTCTTGCAGTGTTAAAATGTTTGTTTCTTTTTTCTCCCCTGGCATCTCTGTCAATGTAGTGCTGATTCCCAGAGACCATGAATAACATAATATGCTGACTATGACAGACATGGAAACATCCCTTTCAGAGAGATAGGGGCCAAAGAGGAAGGTGTGAGAGAATCCTCTCCCTAGTAACCACAGGGTAGAATCAAATGTCAGAAATCTTTGGATTGTCAAAGAAGTTCTCCCTCCTGCACACTCGGCACTCCGTGAAAGGACCCCAGGCTCCTTTCATGTCCCTAACCAGATTTTTCCCATTTTTATACAGAAACAAACACAAACTGAGAGGCAGAAGATTGTGTCTGAATTTCAGGAACTGTGGCAGTTCCTGGAGGAACAAGGGCAACTCCTGCTGGCCCAGCTGGAAAAGCTGGACAAGGAGATTGTGAAGATACAAAATGAAAATGTCAGTAAACTATCCGAGCAAATTTCCCATCTCAGTGAGCTCATCGGTGACATAGAAGGGAAGTATCAGGAGCTAGTGAGTGAATTCCTGCAGGTGAGACTGTGTTAGAAACATCCCAGATGCCAACACAGGGACAGGACAGCTCCTGAATCCTGGGTAGTGGAGTCCAGCTGTCAGAGATCACAGTGTAACTCAACGTGTGCATTGTTGAAATATGAATGACTATTGGTCTTTGCAGAGACACAGACACATTGGTATTAGAGATGGAAAAGTCCCATTCGCTCAGTGAAACCATGGCCCTGGGGCCAAGGCAGGGCCGATTTTCCTTGTATTTACAAAATCCCTTCTCTGGAATCTGAAATGAGTGTATCAGGTGAGACTGAGGGGGTGTGTTTTTTCTCTCTTTCTCCTCTAGGACATCAGAAGCATCTTGAGCAGGTAGGTGACTTTTTCTCCCTCCCACACATACTTCACAATGATGGGAAAGAGTTTGGAGATATGTTAGAGCCGCATCTCCCCAGATCTCTACAGCAAAATGTGTTGAGACAGTCACATTTTGAATACAAATCTCTGTAATTAACTTAATCCTGAAGTTCTCACCATTTTATAGAAGTCTCTATAATTATCCATTCAGTGAGAAAGACTGACCAAAAGTGTTTCCTAGAGATGTCACATCCCTGGGGGACTGGCTGCCTCAGGATTGTGGGGATGGAATATGGGCCTTTCACTTCTGGGGCACTGGTTACCCTTCAACCCAAGACAGCAGTGACCCAGAGTCTTTCCCACCTGAGGACTGTTTGGAGAGCTGTGTGGAATAAGCTGGGGAGGGGAGAGTTGGTGTATCAGTCTAGTTCCCAGTGGACAGATTTCTACAACACTTAACATGGGAACCTGCTGTCCCTCAGAGCATGGAGGCTATGGAGTGACTTGTCCATGGAGACTCAATTTGTCTTTTATCCCCAGAGCTGATCTCTCCAGGCCAGAGGTGAAGAATATTAATGGGACCTTCAGCAGGAAGGTTTCACTGCCATGGCCTGTGCTGCACCTGCTCTGAGGCTGGGAGAAGTAGAGCAATTCTAATTCCAGGCCCATTAAAGCAGTGACTCACCAGCAAGAACTAATAATGAGTCAGTAAATGAAATAGAAGAAAGTGAAATTATTTGTCTCCAGGTGTGAGATGGGGAAGTTCCAGCAGCCAGTGGAGATTTTTCCTGAAGTGGAAAAGAGACTCGGCAATGTCTCCAAGAGAACTATTGCTCTAATGGAGACTCTGAGGAAATTCAAAGGTACTGAGACGGGATCTAGGGCCTTGGCTTCACTGGTGCTGTACAGCGCTGCAACTAGCTGCGCTCAGGGGTGTGAAAACGTCCCCCCCCCACCGAGCGCAGCGAGTGCAGCGCTGTAAAGCGCCAGTGTAATCAGCACCTGCAGCACTGCACGCTCACTCGCAGTGCTTCAAGCTACTCCCCTCAGAGAAGTGGAGTACATACAGCGCTGCAAGAGCTCTCTTGCAGCACTGGCGGCGCGACTACACTCGCGCTTCACAGCGCTGCCGCGGCAGTGCTGTGAATCCCCAAGTGTAGCCAAGGACTAGGAGGGGAAACTGGGATGATCCTCTGAGACTGTGGGAGGGAATGGAGCTCTGGCCAATTGATCAATAATTAGATGACATATCTATTGAATGAAAGGTGGAAAATAGAGAAATTGGACAGGAGTAGCAGGGGCGCAGGTGTCAAGACATGTCTCATTAATTCATGACTTACCAAAAATCACTACGTTGAGGCCCAAATTTAGCAAAATGGCCTAATTTTGGTCCCTGATTTTCTCTCCCAGCTACAAAACTTGCAAATCCTGTGGGGGTCACAGAAACAGGGATGCTACTCTGGCTGGACCTCAGGACTTCCCTAGCCTGTGCCAAAGTCTGCACGGGCCTCTGCAGCCACTGACTAGGGGAGTCACAAACTGCCCCCTTCTATTCCTTTGCCAGTTCAGGGGGAATCTGGGCCATTTTGCCAACCCTCTCCCAGCTCGAATTTCCACACTTATAAAATGATTTTATTGTTATTTGTATTTCAGTTTAAAGAGGACGAAGGCCCCATTGTGCTGAGCTCTGTAGAGCTGCTAAGTAAATAGACCCAACAGGCTTATAATTAAGAGCCCTGACCCTGCAAACTCTTAACATCCCATTAATGTCAAAGGGGCCAAAGTGTGTAAAGTTACATTCATGCTAAAGTCTTTGCAGGATCTGGGTCTAGGGTCTGACAAATGCAATAGGTGAATGATAGAAACCAGCTGGGGGCTGGAGCAAGGGAGGGGATGATGAGGAGAAAGTAAATCTCTCTTACAAATTGTATCTCCTAGGGTGGTTGTGAGACCTAATGGCTGCTGATTCCATTGCTGTGAGATGCCTGAATGAAAGAGGAAAAGGTTTCAGATTAGTTTATGTTTAAAGACTTGAGTGTGTCTCTGTCCCTCTATGTCAGTTTCTCTGTCAATTAAAACCAAGTTAGGTCAGTTAAGAGTGGGGATGCTGTTATAAATATGAAAGCAGAAAATCTCATCTCTTTTCTCCTTTCCCCCACCAGACACTCTGCCGTCTGAACTGGAGACAAAAAGAGGGGGATCCCTAGGTGAGGTTGCAGGTGGAGATTATCTTTATATTATGAGAAAATTACCATGAAAACACTTCGATGAAATTATACCTAAAGTTACCAACCAAACCAAAATCAACCATGACCACACAGCCCTAAAAATGAAAACATGAAATACTGAGGCGATCCCAAGCTGAACTCTCACAATCAATCCCGACACCAGCCTTTTTGCTGAGTCCATGCCCTCGCTGATGAACAAAAATACTCTCACTGAGCAGCATCCAAACACCCTTAACTCTGACCCTGGCATTTTCATAGACATTCACAGGACTTTTAATATTAAATTGAGAGGAATGAGTAGAGAGCTCTCTCCCCTGCAGGCTGACACGTCCCTCTCCTTTACCCTGGCGGAGGGGGTCTCCCCCATCACTCTTCGCCGACATCCTCCCTCTCCTGTGGGCAGGGCTGGGCTTCCCCATTGCAGCTTCTTATTCTTTCATGGATTGGGAAGATGCTCTCCCTCTGATGCTGGTCCCTTCTCTCTAGGCTAAGGATGGGGCTACTCCACTCAGTGCTACCTCCTACTCTCTGGGCTTGATTGACTCTTCTCCATTGGCTGCACCTTCCTCTCTGTTCCCTGGCCTGGGAGTGGAGGCTGCATTTAAGGGAGGGAGCTTCCCTCTGGCATTTAAAGCTCTTACCTCCCTCTTCTGCTCCCTCACCCAAAAAACTTCTGATGCCTTCCTTGCTGTGTCTCTGCTGCTGGGAGTGGATTAGCCCCAGCAGGGGAATCAAAGAGCTGAGTCTCTGCAAACCAATGAGAAACCAATGAAGTGCTTCCATTAAACAGAGTGAGGAACTGCAGTGACACCTCTGCTCAGTCTCAGGTGCCCCGGGGCAGAGGCAGCTTCCTGGGATCCAAGACTGTCCCAGCCAGAACAGAGCTGCTGGGGAGGGTGAGAAATGGACCCAGCCTCCCCCAGGGCTGAGCTCTGCCTCTAACGCTCTGATCCTTTCTCTCTCCTAGTGAATGTGACTCTGGATCCAGACATGGGTCATCCTGAACTCGCCCTGTCTGAGGATCGGAAAAGTGTGAGATGGGGACACACATGGCAGGATCTGCCCAACAATCCTGAGAGATTTGACACTGAGCTCTATGTGCTGGGGTGTGAGGGATTCACCTCGGGGAGACATTGCTGGGAGGTGGAGGTGGGGGATGGGCAATACTGGGCTGTGGGGGTGGCCAGAGAGTCTGTGAGGAGGAAGGGATGGATCAACCAAAACCCTGAGGGGGGGGATCTGGGCTGTGTGGAGGTGGCAGAGTCAGTTCCAGACTCTCATCTCCCCTGATATCCGCCTGCCCCTGAGTCGGGTCCCCAGCAGGATCTGGGTTTGTCTGGACTGTGATCAGGGGCAGGTGACATTTTTCGATGTTGGTAACGAGGCCCCAATCTTCACTTTCCTGCCAGCCTCTGTCACTGAGGAGAGAATCCGCCCCTGGGTCCGGGTGTGGCTGGGATCCCAGCTCAGAATGTGTCCCTGAGACATGGGGTGGGGATATCCCACTGGGGACCCTGAAATTGGCCTCTCTAGCCTCATACTCCCTAGTCTCTATGACTCTGAAGGACTCCTGCTTTTACCATGTCATCTTCATGACCCTGTAGGCTCCGTGGTGTCTCTGGACTGTCAAACCATAGAGAGCAGTGAGTGGTTTCTCTATCTCAATCAATCTCATTACCCCAAGGATTGTGCAGCCTGTTTATCACTGTCCTCTATGGTCAGGAGGACTTGGGGGATCCTAGCTTAGTCAGTGTCACTGAGAGGGGGGAATAGCCCAGTGAGAATGAAAAGAAAAATAGGCTTCTCTAGCTGCAGTTTTCCCAGTCTATATGACCATGGAGGACTTCCGTCCCATTTATTTATATATATATAAGGCACATATAGTGGCATTAAGAAAACTGTTCTCAGTAGCTGTGGATCTCCTTTCTATACACTGTGGTTATTAAATCTCATTCTTAGCTCCTTTTACTTACCAACTTTCAGTTACATACTGTAAATAAAACATTACAAACAATTCTTCTTGTTTGTTTCACTTTAATATCCCAGATGCAGTTGTTGGGGGCAGAGTCCTGGGATTTGCTTCCTGACTTGGTTGTGTCCCCCCAGTACCCACAGGGAACATCGTGCCTCTAGGAGGAGTGTTTGGGTTGTACTGTGATGTGTCACTATCCAGCCTGTGCTCTGTCTCTTGTCCTGTACATACCCATATCAATCAGGAATTGCTCAGCTGTGCTCTGCAGAGAGGTGACTGGTTACGCAGGGTGCAATCCGTGAAGGGACTTAGGCAATGCAATGCTGAGCGTAACAGGGTCTAATTTTTAGGCAACTAGAAAATCACAGGAACAGCACTGTGACCTGCAAAGCTGAGTGAGGTGTCAAAACTCCCTATACAATGCATGGGCAACATAGGCACTTTACAATGTGATTCACAAAACCCAGCTCACTACGTGGGGAGCTATCTAAGCTAGCCAATGGGAGAGGGTGACGGGGAGAGGGGTGTCCTAATCCCTGCCCCTCTCTACAGCCAGATACCTAAATCTGGATTGCAGTGTGGTGTCTTCTCTGCTTAGTAATCCACAAATGGGAACGCACTGCCTGACATCAGGTGGCTCAGGCACCTAAGACGTTTCTTGCTGGAAGGAGTTAGGCACCTGCCTCACTGCACACAAAATTTATTGGGGGTGGTGGTGATGTCACCCACCTTATAACTTTTTGCCCCATGGTTAAAGCACTTACCTGTGATGTGGGAGACCCAGGTTCAATTCCTTCTGTCCAGCTGTCTAGAGACGCTCACGAATGTGAGTAACAGCCTCAGGGCAAACAGTTACAAACTAAGGCACAAAACCTATGCTGGGTGTGTGTTCTATATTTATATTACCCCTCTATATTATGCTCCTACCCCTGTGTCATAACTATAAAGGGAAGGGTAACAGCCCTCCTGTGTACAATACTATAAAATCCCTCCTGGTCAGAGACACGAAAATCCTTTTACCTGTAAAGGGTTAAGAAGCTCGGGTAACCTGGCTGACACCTGACCCAAAGGACCAATAAGGGGACAAGATACTTTCAAATCTTGATGGGGGGAAGGCTTTTGTTTGTGCTCTTTGTTTTGGGAGTTGTTCGCTCTTGGGACTAAGAGGGACCAGACATCAATTCATGCTCTCCAAATCTTTCTGAACAAGTCTCTCATATTTCAGATTTGTAAGTAACAGCCAGGCAAGGTGTGTTAGTTTTGTCTTTGTTTTCTCAAGTTGTAAATGTTCCTTTTGCTAGAGGGTTTACCTCTGTTTGCTGTAACTTTGAACCTAAGGCCAGAGGGGGTTCCTCTGGGCTCTTTGAATCTGATTACCCTGTAAAGTTATTTTCCATCCTGATTTTACAGAGATGATTTTTACCTTTCTTTCTTTAATTAAAAGCCTTCTTTTTAAGAACCTGATTGATTTTTCCTTGTTTTAAGATCCCAAGGCAGCAAAACCAGATCTAAGCTGATAGTTAAGCTTAGAGGTTCTCATGCAGGTCCCCACATCTGTACCCTAAAGTTCAGAGTGGGGAAGGAAGCTTGACACCCTGTTTCCTCTCCTGACTATCCATTTTTAATTTTTCCTCTATTGTATCACTCTTGGGGATGAAGGTATATATATATATATCACCTTCATATATTTGCAATATTTAATTTATTTCACAGTTGCTTCGGTCCGCGAAGCCCCTTCAAAAATCTAATATGACCCTCGTCTCATAAAGTTTGGAGACCCCTGACTTAAAATCTATCTTTTGTAGTTAATAAATCTGTTTGTTTATTCTACCTGAAGCAGTGCATTTGGTTTGAAGCATGTCAGAGACTCCCCTTGGGATAACAAGCCTGGTACATACCAATTTCTTTGTTAAACTGACAAACTCATATAAACTTGCAGCGTCCAGTGGGCATCACTGAACACTGCAAGGCCTGGTCTACACTAGGAGGTTATGTCGAATTTAGCAGCGTTAAATCGAATTAACCCTGCACCTGTCCACACAACGAAGCTATTTAGTTCGACATAGAGGTCTCTTAAATTCGATTTCTGTACTCCTCCCCGACGAGGGGAGTAGCGCTAAATTTGACATGGCCATGTCGAATTAGGGTAGGTGTGGATGGAAATCGACGCTAATAGCTCCAGGAGCTATCCCACAGTGCACCACTCTGTTGACGCTCTGGATAGCAGTCCGAGCTCGGATGCTCTGACCAGCCACACAGGAAAAGCCCTGGGAAAATTTGAATTCCTTTTCCTGTCTGGGCAGTTTGAATCTCATTTCCTGTTTGGACATCGTGGCGAGCTCAGCAGCACTGGTGTAACCCTTCTGCCCATCTAAGTTGGCAGCAACAAGGGCCGGGTTCTGTATCTAGGGATTCCGTTTCAATAACACAATGCAAAACCGGCTCGAGCCCCCACCCAGTGACCTGGGACAATTACATACCACCCCCTGGGCGCCTCT